TTTTTTTTTGTTAAACAACGCCATGTAATGGGTTTCCATGAAGTATCGTTTTTGTGTGTGGATATTATGGGATTGCATTCACAATTCAGCCAAAAAAAAGCCACTAACCACAAAAGGCTATTACAATAACGAAGTGATCTGACATCAAAATTAATACAACATGGTGTGCCACCACTAATGATCGCGCAAGATTGAAAAAATTCTGGCATAAATATCCCAACTAAATTGCAAACTCAAAATAATCAAAAAAATATAAAACTTGAAAAAAAAACTAAGCCAGAACAATACAAATAAAACTCTCATAAATGAGAGATGAAAATCTCTCACAAAAGAGAAGTGAAGACCTCTCATAAAAGGAGAGGTGAAAACTATACAGAGATCCCAAAGAGTCTCAGCGACTTATTCCAACAAGCCCAACAACTCAGTTTCAAGTTCTCCACTCTATATATGCCAAATAAAGCTCGGAAAAAAAAACTCTAAAGGAACGGCTCCCCAGGAACACTTCCTCCTTTTCTCTCCCTTCTCTAACCCCTTCTTCTTCTTCTCCAGCGAGCCTCTCTCTACAACTGTTTGATTCCATAGTGAGTGTCTTATCTAAGGCCCTTAAATGAGGCCCTATCTATTAACCGTTGGATCAAATTAGTTTGTCGCTAAAATACAACTAAAGAAGAAATTCATCCAAATTCCTGCCATCCATAAGTATGTGCTCGAGTTGGAAGAATAAAAAAGAAAAAAGGAAGAGGTTGAATCATTGTGATATATTATATCTGACAAGTAAATAATAAGAACTTTTTTAATTAAGGGATCATAATATTGATGATTCCTTACAATAAACAATTAATTGGCTAAGCCCATCGAATGGTGACGCTTAGCGAGCCCTTATTCCTTGCACTTGCACACACACACGTACACTAATTCATGGCCTTATAAATTATTTTCATGTTTATAGGATATAGCTAGCTTTGAGCAAAATAAAATAATAAAAGTAGAGATTTGCTGCGCATGCAATTAATATTGCAATAACCTTATTCCTTATCGATCCAGTAGCAGTGATCTATCTGGTGCGTCATGATAATTAGTGTTCATGCATAGCTGCACATTCCAAACACACATGAAGTGCCTTTCTTGCACTTGTTGTTGCAGCTGCCGCAGTTTTCCTTGTCCGACATCGGATTCACACACTTACCTTCGCAGCAAATCTCTGCGTAATTGCATTTCTTCCCACACTTGCCGCAGTTTGCTGTGTCTGTGTTTCTGTCCACACATTTCTTGTTGCAGCAATCCGGCTTTGCGCTGCCATACGCCTGACAAACCTTAGGGTTTTTGTCACAAGTCACGGAGGCAAGGAAGCGGCTTCTTAGAGAAGTGCTTTTTCCAAACTGGTTTTTGGTTTCGTCATTTGTATCAGTATTGTTTTCCTCGTTGAAGAATGATTCTTCTTCGTTTGGTATTGCAGAGAGAGTGGTGATGGCTGAAGCTATTAGCATGGCAAACATTAGAAAAACCTTGAAGCCTTTCATGATGTTTGTTTGAAGTGTATAAAAGCAGAGAGAGAGAGAGAGAGAGAGACCGAGAGGGATTTCTAAAGGTGCTTAGAAGATTTTGGGATGGAGAAGCATGTAGGCTCGGAAAAGTATAAATAGAGAAAAAGAATGTGAAGGTGGTCTAAAATTCGTATAAGATTTTAGGGTGGCTTAGGAGAAATATTTATGCAATGGATATTGGGGGATAGAATTTCTCCACTCGTCGAGCGATTAGCGGTCGTAAGGTGAGAACATGGGAGTCTCAGTGAATCCCTCATCACTTTGTTAATTTGCTGTTTCGTTTGGAGACTTTTGGCCCCATTGTCAAACAAAAACTCAACACGTTGTAACACTACCCGTTGTTTTTTATTTGACGATCGATATAAGCCGCGCTTCAAGGCACGCGTCGAGGCAAAGCAGTGGCAAATCTCCTCAGGTCAGGTGTTTCGCAGTTATCACTCTTAGCGCACGCTATGGTTTTTAAGGCGCTTATTCCTCACGAAGAAGAAGACCTGCCAGATTTGACGAAGCCCACATGCAAAATCATACCTTGCTATTTTTCCAAAAACTGGCCCAAATACGCGATGGTTTGATAATAACAAAATTACCTTTCAACTTAAGATACAATTAAACAAGAAATTCATCCAAATTCCTCGCATCCATAAGTTGGAAATTCATCCTGTGATATGCATCTTACAAGCACTACACCAAATTGGAGCTTTTACGACTTGATATTTACGGCACACTTTTTATTCGTGTGTTAATAACTGATGTTTACGGCATATGACAAAGCACGCCTTCAAAAGATGGTAAAGTGTGTTGTTAATAACTGATATTTACGGCATATGAAAACATGCCTTAAAAAGGTAATTTTTGTGTCTTTTAATGGCATTGATTGTATATACGCCGTGAATGCAATTTTTTTAAATATATATTATGTCGTGCGATTGAGTATGTCGTAATTTGTAAATTCAATTTATTTTTTTTCCCGAAACCCTCCAATATATATGCAATCCACTAAAAATATAAGATTTTTTTTTTAATTTCCCTCTTTTATTTTTCATTCAGACCTAACCGTTCTCATCACTTCTCTCTCTCTCTCCATCTCTTTCTCTCACAATTTCTGGATTCTCTCTCACAGTTTATCAAGAGCTCCAGTTCCTTATTCGTGAGAAGACTATTGCTTGAGCCGTACCGTATTGCTTCGAAGCTGAATTCTCAGTGACATTCCAAAGGTGTGATTCTCTAAAGCCCTAACTCCAAATGCTTGATTATGAATTTTCTTATAGTTTAGAATCATGTTCGCTACTTTATTCATGTGGTAAGGAGGCCTCATTGTCTTTAATTCTTGATTTATACCACTTCGCACATTATTTTCGTTTCAATTTAGAAAAATCAATATTGTTAACTATTTTTCTCAATTTATTTAAATATTCATCGTTTCAAGCTCGATCTTTGAACATCTTCGATTCTGTGTTCAGATTTCAATTTCCTTTTCGTTTTTCTAAAATTTTGTTTGATTTGCTATATCTTTCTTTAAAAAAACTCCAAAAATATATGAGTACCTCTTGTTGAAGAATATGAGTCCCACATCGGAAACTTGATTAAATAAAATACAAAATATAATGAATGGTTCTACGACTAATAACACCGAGGCCTTTTGTGATAAAACATCACACCTACTGGGCTTTGTAGGTGGTTAAGTTGGGGACAATATCGGTGTTGCTAGTAGTGGGCCACTAGCCCGTCTCTCTGAAATTTGACACCTCTTCGTTTAAGTAATTTAGTTTAATTTTTCAGTGAGATCGAACTACTTTTCCCCGATTATGTAGTCGTAAGTTTTGAGTGAATTTTGCTTCAAAACTGAGGAATCGAATTTCTAATAGTAATGCTTGGGTTTTGTGTCGTGATTGCTTAGGAAATCAATGCCGGAGATATTAAGAAGCTTGAATACGCTAGGATCTACACCTG